AAAGTTTCCATTCAGTTTTTATCAGATCTTTATTTTCTCACAGGTGTGGACCTTGTGGCACAGTTCGAGCAAGAGTAGGGAATTTGCCGCAGTAGGGAAAGTGTATAAGATCAGAAAATCCTGCTCAGGAAAGGGGAACCTTATTGGTTTTACTGGAGTGTCCCATACAAAATTTCCACCGAATGCACCTTGATCATTGATATTAAAGGTGCCAGTATACATACATACAACGCAAAAAGAAAAGAAACATGGAGCAGATTGAAGAAACGATTCATCCCCGTCCAACCCTGTCCCATGTCCATCCCACCTCAGAAAAATCAAGCTAGGTACTATCTGTTCAAATGCTTTCAACTAAAACATTTACTTACATATTGTTCAATGGAGGTATTTTACATCAAAGGCGGTTAAATATCATTGGGCTAATCAATCATGGACGACTCCATATTGCTGTCAATACTTCATATACCATTTTGTTCCAAACATCTTAAAAGCTCAGTTGGAGGCAAAGTCCCTGAAACAAGACTAAGGAGGCTTTTGCAAAAAAAGTTAATGTGTAGCTTTACAAAACCTCCTGGAATAAAATTAACTGCCATGAAATGGAATGTTCATGGAGCGGAGAGTGCTACATGTCAGATTAGGCAGCACAGCAACAGAGACTTTGGAGTGAGCGTCAATGCACATAGACTGCCATTTGCCCGCTCTTAAGCTAGAGCTACTCCAAACTTGCGTGATAGGGATGCCCCAACCTGGAATGCCACCTAAACTTCCTCTCTATTGTGCCATAATGCTCTCACAGTTATCAAGTAAACGTGCAATTTAAGCATTATTTTACAGTCTTGAAAAACAATCAGATTTCTATGGGGGGAAAATTAAAAGAACATTAGTAGGAATACAGCATAGAAAAAGACAGATAAGATAGATTAGACATGATGCCGAACACTTGATAGCTCCTCCACACGCACGCACGCACGCACACACACACACACACTTCTTCAGGACAGAATCTATCAACTGACACCCTCGGTCTTTCTAAAGTTCACTATCAGCGTTTGGAGAGCTCATTTGATAACCAGTCCAGTCCTTCATAGAGTCCGGTGCCTTGTGTAGCGCAGGTCGCTTGAACGTACCACTGTGGAAAACGGACAACGGACAATTAAAATGCAGTCACTTCTTAAACAAGTGGATGTTGGAGTCAATCAAGTAAGTGTGCATACCGTTCTGCTGCGTAGACTCTGCAGCCCAAGTTTGTCTGTGAGTTCACTGACAGCCATGGCGTTGGGCAGATCCTGTTTATTTGCAAAAACCAGGAGCACGGCGTCCCTCAGTTCATCTTCCTGCAACTGTATAAATGAAGTGAGCATGATGAGGCTGATCTAACAATGTCAGTAAATCAACACATTTATATATTACAGGGCACAACAATAAGAATTTGTGATAATTAAAAAAAGATTATAATTTAAAAAAAAACTTTTTGGTACGAAATAAAGACTTTTCCTGATATTTAAAATAAAATATGAAAGTCAATATGAAATATTGAATTATTTATTATTATACACCCGTCTCTAACAGTGACATCTCTTCTTTGAACATGTGTTTCCTGGTGCTGGTTCCCTTTTTTAATCAATTCACAAATGGAAAAAAAATCCCGCCCTTTCTTGTTAGAAAAGTCGTTTCACTTGCATACGCATCACAACATAATATTCAACAACAGTTGATGAGCCCCATTGACTTGCATACTATGGAAGTCAATGGGTCCATCAAATCAAATGTTTGGTTACCAACATTAAAACCAATGTTTGGTTTTACATGAGTAAAAAACAATTACATTTTTTGCTTTTCCGTTTAAGCTGGACAATGACACTATTTTCTTCTAGAGCTGATCTACTGCCGAAAAACAAACCTAGTTGCTTTATATTCCTATAATCACTGTAAAGCTGCTTTGAAACAATCTGTATTGTAAAAAGCACTATATAAATAAAAGTGACTTGACTTGACAATAGGGAAGAAAATGCAGTATTATTCCCAGATATGGCAAATGGCAAAGTTCCTAACAAACATAACACATGGACTTTGTCGTGACACTTTGGTAAGAAAGCTCCGGCCAAGAAAATAAATGCACGTGTAAATCCAAATACATTGTGTAACGTGATCTCAGTTCAGGTCACTGAAAAAGTGACAGGTTCTTGAGCGTGATCCAAGAGTTTAGATATAGAATGACAGTTCGCCCCTATTCCTATGAATGGGAGAAACTGCAACATCTTTTGAGTACAAGAGCCAATGGTTGATTGGTAACGTCACTGCAGCTCCCGCTAGAAGCTCCGGTTCCCATTGAAGCTTGAGACTTGCAAATATGGCCACCAAGTGAACAGACTTTCTTTGAAAGGGTTTTTGACGTGACACAGATTTTGACGTATCTGAAGGTTAAATGGAATGCTTACCATTTTAGAAAGCTCTTCCGCAGATTCGGCAACTCTTTCTCTGTCATTGCTGTCCACAACAAAGATCAGACCCTGCGGACAAAATTGAACAGCTAAAATATTGATACTAAAAATTAGAGTTCACAGTACATCTTAACCACATAAAAAGAGACTTCAGATAAGGATGCTGCTGAAGGGGCACTGTGCCTGTAACTTATTTAATATATGTTGCTTTGGATAAACCTATAAGGGGCAACTTCGCCTGCAAAAAATGACCCTATATAAAAATCATACCTGTGTGTTCTGAAAATAGTGTCTCCAGAGAGGACGGATCTTGTCCTGACCGCCAACATCCCACACAGTGAAGCAGATGTTCTTGTATTCAACAGTTTCTACATTAAAACCTGTTCATCAGCAGAAAACAAATACAGTTCAACAACACCTTACTCAAGGTGCATCGTAATATCTGATTGGTTTTGATTAGTGATGGGCAAATACATCATCCATGGTGATTCCTTGGATGATATTCGGCTAATAAAAAGACTGACAATGACAGCACCTACATTTTAACTATTTGTTCCTCAATTACTGTAGCTCGCTCAGAAACAGTGAGACAGAGTGACTCTGCAACAGTTATTTTTGACAGTTTTTAAAAATACTTTCTGTAAAAGCTTGTGATAATGTGGCAGACAGCAACAGTTACTAAGGTAGGATTGGTCAGTAATGTTTTAAGGTGGGGCTTATTGAAGAGTAAATTAACAGCAGTAGCCATTACAACCTTTTGGCAGCTCAAAGACCAACTGAAAGCATTGCTGATCATATTTTGTATTTTCAATTATTTTAATGAGTTTTGATTTAAAAGAAAACCACTTAATTTCAGTAATTCATATTAATTGTATATGCTGTCAATAAATTGGATTGGCAATTGAACCCATCTACAGTATGTACCAATAAAAACAATTATAAAAGCTTTTGAATGTCAATGTCAGACAAAAACATCACTTCACGAAAGTCTCCACGAAAACACTTGGTTAGAAACCCACACTGAAGTTGTAAAGGCAATGGCTGTGCAATAATAGATATTGATCACCAAAATGAACAGAATCTTGAAAACTGAATCACCTACATCACATATAAGATTTATTAATGAGCTGCTTCGGTTTTAAATGAAAAATGTAACATTTTGAAAGCGTGATAATCATGTCTGTCAGTGTAATCTCACCTATAGTGGGGATGGTGGTGACAATTTCTCCCAGCTTTAGCTTGTAAAGTATAGTGGTTTTACCTGCAGCGTCCAAACCCACTGTAATAGAAGTACAAAAAAAAAAAACTTCAGCTGTCATTTTCATTTCAATGGTGTGATTTTATCAAATTCATTCAAGTTCTATCTGAAGCTAACGTTAGCAAGCTAACATTAGCCACTGCCCCAAGAAATATGACATTGGTTATTGAATTTAAAACAGGAAATGACTAAACTCATCTTTTATTTAATCTTACACTCGTATACTATATCCATATAGTCTTAGAATTTAATATTTACCACACAAATACATCAGAAACACAGAAGTCTAAGGTTAGTTAGTGCACTTGAAACACTCACCCATCAGTATTCTCATCTGTTTCTTGCCGAAAAGTCTCCCAAACAGCGATGAGATGGTCAGACCCATGATGGTTTAAAAGAAGAGCTGAAACCCTATCAACAAGCGAAACAACAAAGAAAATGTAAAAACGTATTTTATTGAATATTCTGTCTCTTTGTGCTCAGTGTCTCGCGGTCGCTTGACGCGTTGCCACGTAAGAAAGGAGCCACCGTGGAAGTCTTGGCGTCACTTCCTGCTGCAATCGCATTCTGGCCAGTGATGTCATAATTATTCATAACTTCCGATATGTTCTTAAACGCCTTTCTTTTACTGTCTATGTTAAACGCCCATGTGAAACGCCCACGTGCTTTTTATTTTGTCTGATGATAGCGATAGCATACAAACTAGACTTGCATTATTCTCTTTTTTATTTTATCTTTATAATAAAATCTCGATAATTAGGGGCACGGCGAATTTGAAAGCCCTGGACAACCTTATTCTTCATATTTTTTTCTTATCATCTTATTGTTTTGTTTGTCATTTATTAATTAATCCAAAAATCAAGACTAAATAGCTACGTTCGAGCTACGTTGTTTTTTTGTTTGTTTTTTCCATTAAATATTATATTATCTCCCCGGACCCATCACCCAGTATTGTATTTTTATATTATTATATTTATATTATTTTTTCCTTCCACTGGATAACTGATTTTGTTGCACGTAACATTTTGACCAGTAGAGATCACTGCGTGCTAATTTTAGTGGTTAAGGTCAGAGTACAGAACACAAACAACAGACACACACAGTTTACAGATAAGTATTTAGGCTATGTATTATTAATGTTTAGGCCTATATTAGCCACTTGAAAGTGCTTCCAAACACTTTCGGTTGTTTGGCTGGCTTGAAAGTGTTTCCAAACGCTGTAGGCTGTTTGATATATCATCTAATGAGCATTACTTGTATGTTGTATGGATCTTCATGATAACACCCACACAGCACCTAACCTGTTACAAGCTCAGGTGTTACCCGCAAAAACAAGGTATGAAAGCAATGAAAGTAGCGCAGCCGCGCTAGTGGCTACCTACAGGTGAGAAAGTAGATGTCACATGATCAGAGGTTCGACGTCCAGTTGAGACGGCGGGACTCGGGAGTCAGACCAGACAGACAGACAAACTGCGGCTGTAGCAACTGTAGGCTACATGTACATGACAGAATAGATAGACAGAACAACAACGAGCTGGCATGTAGTTCATGGAATGAATATCTTTATCATGAAGTCAAGCGGTGGATTATCAATTGAAGAAAAGGTAATAAATCACACTTAAAGTGGAAAAAATAACATACTGTATATCATTATTTGCCACTACACAATTTGCTTTAAAATATTAAAATCAAAAACAGACAGTTGGCTATTGATTTGATGACTGTTAAAGTTTCGATTTGATTACGTTTACTAATTTATTATTTCAAATATATTATAGCTACATTCATATTCTTTGTCTTAATTGCACGCACAGATTACTGTTTTGTCTTGGATCTACATCTCGACCTTGAGTTTAAGGTGAGAAATAAAAAGTTGATTCGACTGATGTGTTCATTTCCAAGGAAATGATAAATGTTTAATACACACTTACTAACGATATATTGCTTTTAATGAATAATACATCTATAATGCATTACAATTAAGTATGTGCGTTTCTTTTTCAGTCCATGCTTTTTTAGAAGTAAAATGTATGAATTGGTTTTATAATTTATATGAAGCACACATTTTTACTGTACTATACAGTAAAAATCATTTTTTGTTTAAATTTTACGTTAAAAGTTCGTTTTGCCTTATTTTTATTAATTATGCAAATTTTAGTTTTATACTTGAAGAGTTCAGATGCAAAAGCCTCTAAATGCCATTTGAAATTTTCTTCTTTAATGATGATTTTTATCAAACTTGTATATTTAAGTTCAGTAATTTCACTTAAATAACAATTAATAGGTAATTATCATTGCCATTTAAGTGAAATTACTGAACTTAAATTTACAAGTTTGATAAAAAAAATCATCATTAAAGAAGAAAATTTGAAATGGCATTTAGAGGCTTTTGCATCTGAACTCTTCACTTATTTTTATGTTGTTTATGGCAATATGTCTTGTGTGTTTACAGTACCTGTGACCAACCATGCACCAAGCATGTTTTTTTTTTTTAAATTAATTGAACAAATAATAATACAAACAACAAAATGTTAGTTAATGTGGTAAGATCTTAAGTTTTTATTTTATTATTGACTAACTAATTCTAAGGCTTAAATAGAAATATGGAGCGACAGGGACAGAAGTTGCTTTTTTAAAATCACAAAGTATAATTCTTAACTTGAATGACCTTTTTTTCTGTTGCAGTCTGATAGGTAGTTGTTCTGTGGTGGTGGTGTCCATTATAAAGAGAAGGCATCTCAATGAACAGGTAAGTCAATATGTGAATGTGAAATTTAATTTCATCTGATCGAACCACCAGCTTCTAAACTGGCAGATTTTAAATTCATAATCAGAATTTTTAATATGACGAATGGAATGAAATGATGGATTTGATAGATCTGCATTCCCCAGCTGAATTACAAAATTCTTGCTGCAAAAGTCTACAGTGAGGGTCAATATTGGCTAAAAGTGTGCCAGTGTGCGCAATGAAAACTAACCCCTCTGATTACATCATTGCATACATCTCTCTTTATCAGCATAACAGGCTTTAGATAACTTTTTTGCAAAGTTCACCTAAACATTTGTAAAAAAAAATATGTCTTCAGCAGTCTTCTTAAGTTGGGCCTCTCCGTTTGCAAACATACAGCATGTTCATCACATTCACTCTAATAAATAAAGGTCCCAAAAGGGGTTTCACAGCGTTGAAGAACCATGAGAGAACAGTTGTTAAAAGAACCAATTTTTCTTAGTGAAAAACATTTTAAAATTCTAAAGAACCTTTTTCCACTTTAAAGAACCTTTTGTGGAATGGAAATGTTCCATGGTTGTTAAAGTTTCTTCATGGATCCATCAATGCCTTTGTAAGAGTGTATGTTTCTTTATCATTGTTCTTGTATTACAGACTAAGCCTCTTCTTCAACTGGCCCTGGCAGATTTCCTGGCGTCGCTTGTTTTGATGTGCACTGCCATAATTAATTTGCCTTATGAAATTTGGACACTCAGTGAAAAGCTGTGCAACAACGGATTGCCTTTGTCTCTGGTGAGAAACTAATACAGAAACATGTAATCAAGCGTAGCTGTTAAAATTATTTAAAGGGATAGTTCACCCAAAAATGAAAATTAAATCATTAATTACTCAGCCCCATGGTGTACCAACCCCGTAAGTCCTTCGTTCATCTTCGGAACACAAATGAAGATATTTTTGATTCAATTTGAGAGCTGTATCACTACCACATAGGCACCCTAAGGGATTGAAACTTGACGGCCCAGAAAGTCATCGAAGAAAATGTTTGAATATTCCATGTGAAGTTTATCAAGCGACGAGAATACTTTTTGTGTGAAAAAACAACAATAATAATGAATTTATTTGACTACTCCTTTTCTTCCTTCTGGGCCTGAGACGAGAGTTCAAGAGATTTCCATGATGCATGCGCGAGAACTGAACAAGAAGTAGTCGAAAAATAATGTAGTTCTTGCGCATGCGAATATTTAAACATTTTCTTCATTGACTCTCTGTGCCGTCAAGTTTCATTCCCTTAGGGTCCCTATGTGGTAGTGAAAAAGCTCTCAAATTGAATCAAAAATATCTTAATTTGTGTTCCGAAGACTAACAAAGGTCTTACGGGGTTGGTACAGCATGGGGGTGAGTAATTAAGGACTTAATTTTCATTTTTGGGTGAACTAACATTTTAGGTCTAATAAAAGTCTGAAAGTTTTTGTTTATCCATGATCTCCGGGTTACTAATTCTTAGTGCACACTTAATGTGTTTGTGTGTGCGTGCGTGTGTGTCTGTGCATGACACAGTGCATTTACTGTATAATGTCCTTGTTATGCAACAACTTCCTTGAACACCTGAGAAATGAACATCTTGGTAACAGTGAGGTCTTGGTGTCGAGTTACATAGCAGATGTTCATTCAGCGCTTTGTAGATTTCCAGCATTATTGTGTGTTGCCATAAAGCAATTGAAGAGTCTCATCTTTGCACATGTAGAACCACTGAGTCATGCACTGTCCTGTAAAACCCTCATTTGACACCGAGCTGACAGTGGATGAGTAAAAACCTTTTTATTTTAGTAAAAGTTTAAACATTAGTAAGAGTAAAAACGAGTTTATTTTTATATCTATATCTATATATATATATATATATATATATACAGGTGGATATTTATATATGAGGCCACAAACGTGTGAAGGAAAAATTTCTTAATACTGTTTAAAATACTGTTAAATGCTGTTAAATTTTTTCCCCCAGTATTGCAGCACACGCCGTCAAATTGAAATATGAAACATAAATTTAGTTAGGTGTGTCCAAAGCTTTCACTGTGGATCTATGTGGCAGTTGTGATAAACTTCAGTTGTTTAAGCATTAACTCTGTCTCTTCCCAGGCCTTCTACTGCGTCTCGTTTCTGCTTGTCATTGTTTATGCCTGTGAGTCAGCACTTGCATTTCAAGGATGGAGAGAAAAGGCAGAGCAAGAAGCATTTGAAATCCAGGTGAGCAGGGTTGCTGCTCACATACAAACGCACACACACACACACACACTCATATACTGTCCCTGTCACTGTTATGAATCAATGAGATCAATGTCACTGATATTACCTAACATGACAGCAGCTGAATGTTTGTTGACGCAGCTTTTGGCAGAGTCTGAGACCAGTCGGGTAGTGCCACATTCCTCCATATATAGACACGTGTAATTATCTCTGTGTAGTACTTTTCTTAAAAGTACCCAACACTAAAATAATATTTGTTGTTGTAAACTGGTGTAGTTCGGTCAGAATGAATAATATTTAAACTCAAATCAGTGTTACTCATTAACTAAAACCAAAACTCTATTAAAAATGTATTACTTAAGCTAACTTATTTTATTTCAGCGAGTTGCAAAGGCACAATTCTCATTTCCGTTTAGTTTAACTTGAAGTAATAAATAACCCAAACTAAATGAACTAAATAAAACTAATAAATACAAGTATTAAAACTATATAGACTTATAATAAAAAACACACAAACACTCAACAAAATGATCAAATGATCACTGAGATACTAATATAGTTTTTTATTAGTGTTTTATTTAAAAAAAAAAATCATTTTCAAGTTTCAGTAATTTTGTTGTGTTTTTGTCATTTTTTATATTTTTTATTCATTTTTATTTTGGTTTTTAGTAGGGCTGTCAAACGATTAATCGTGATTAATCGCATCCAAAATAAAAGTTTGTGTTTACATAATATATGTGGGTGCACTGTGTATAATTATTTTGTATATATATAGATACACACACATGCATGTATATTTAAGAAAAATATATTATTTATATATAAAATATTTATATTTATATATAATATAAATTATATATAAATCTATATACAGTATATACATGAATATATTTCTTAAATATATACAAGCGTGTGTGTATTTATATATATATAAAATAATTAATGCACCCACATATATTATGTAAACACAAACTTTTATTTTGGATGCGATTAATCGCGATTAATCGTTTGACAGCCCTAGTTTTTGGTTATTTTACTTGAGCTAAATGAACATGATACATTTTGCCTTGGCAACATAGCTGAAATAAAATAAGTGTTATTTTTTAATATTTTATTGCAGTTATTTTAATTTCAAGTGATGAAAATGTTTTTTAGCTTTACGGTTTTAGCTTTAGTTAAGTATAACACTGACTAAAATGAAAGTGAAAACAGATGAAGACATTTTTAAATTACCCACTTTTTTGATTATTGTCTATGAATCAAATTTGTAGTTATTGATTCATTATATAAATATATATTTATTCATTTATTTAATTGTGTGCTAATTTTTTATGTATTCATTGTCACAGTTATCACGCAGGAGGAGGAGGTTTTGTCTTGTCTATGTAATTGCATGGTGAGTAGTTCCATTTAGTTTTCTTTAATGCATTTAAATGTGATTTATGTTAAACTGAAAATATGACTGATTGCTATGTGTATGTAATTTACGAACCATCCTGACTTAGGCCCTTTTAAAGCTAAGCTTAAGACTCATTTATTTAGACTGGCTTTTTTTATCATTGCATTTGTTGAGTCATTCTGTGCTTATATCATATATATACAGTATATATATTTTATATATTTTATTTTATTTTTATTTTGCATTGTATCGTTGTTGTTTTTTCTTATTTTTTTGGAAAGCACTTTGGTTCACCTTGAGTGTTGTTAAGGGCTGTATAAATAAATACTGAATTGAATTGAAGATCTTTATGCTTACTACATGTAATTTCTATAGGCTTGCACCAATAATTGGATACCTCGTCTATATTAATACCTTCAGAGTTATGGAAGCTACACTCGTGCCAGCAAGTGAACCAGCCCACATGCCTAATATGACACACGTCAGCAGGGGCCCCTCTGCCAGGTTCTGTGGCAGGTGAGGATGAGTTTCTCTATGTGAGATTGTGTAATGTACGCATATGTGAATCATTTACCTATCCATGTCTGTTTCTTCTTGCAGCTGCATTCTCTTCCTGCATCTCAAACAAACTGCAAACGACTCCTGCACAAAAGTGGTAAGAAATGTATATAGACAACAAGTTTAAATCTAAATAATCTCTGGAGCTGTTCCATCACGCTGTCTTTTGTCCAACAGGATCATGATCATGCCGAGTTCATTTCTGTTTTCACTCTCAGCAGTGTGTTGATCGTCATCGTCAGCTGCACAGTGGGTACACACGTTTATGAATAGTACTGCTCACAAATCACATCATTTGACATTTGTCATCAATTTCGTCACATACCCTGAAAATTAATAGTGGAGTCAATATGTCATGCTTTGCTTGAAAAGTGTTTTTAATAGGGCTGTCAAATGATTAATCGCGATTAATCGCATCCAAAATAAAAGTTTGTGTTTACATAATATATGTGGGTGCACTGTGTATAATTATTTTATATATATGAATACACACACATGCTTGTATATATTTAAGAAATATTTTCATGTATATACTGTAAATAGATTTATATCTATTACATATAAATATAAATAATATTTTTTCTTAAATATACATGCATCTGTGTGTATTTATACATTTACAAAATAATTATGCACAGTGCACCCACATATATTATGTAAACACAAACTTTTATTTTGGATGTGATTAATCGCGATTAATTGTTTGACAGCCCTAGTTTTTAAAATAAAGGGCACTTTGTTTTATATATTATTATCTAGTGCAATGACAAGTGTCCAGATACTTTTGAGGTCACTGTTGAATAATCTCCTGTAATATGTGTCTGTTGTCGTGTAGGTGGTGTACTGTAGGTTACAAAGCTGTTATAGGCATTATGAGAACACAAGCATGTTCACAATGTCACAGAGACATCCAGGTGGGATTTGGTCCTCGGCTCGATACATGATCCTTGTTATCATTTTCTGCTGGGCACCAGGTCAGTACAATAGCACACACGTGTTCTCAAATGCTACACATATGCAATAATGTATATATGTATTTCTCTGAATATAAATGGTTGTTTTGTCATTTTTAACAAAGTCATATTTTGATTTTTTTCAGCTCTGGTTCTCATCTGTCTGTCCTTTGTACAATCTCCGATAAAACATATATTCCCCCTCTATGTTATACAGGTAAAACACATTTTCTAAACTATAACATGTTATGTTAAATATATATATATATATATATATATATATATATATATAACCACATCTGTGCATTAGAAGGGATTTTTGACACTTTCTGCATGGTGCATTTGTTACGTCAGTAGGTGGCAACAAGTGACCATCTTTATCAATGAGTCATTTGATTCATTCACTCAACCAATTCGTTCAAAAACACTGATTCATTCAGGAACGGAACAAGTGACTGAATGAATAAGTCATTGAACTTATTCATAAAACAATGGTAAAACAGGGTTGGGAAGCACTGAGATAAAAATCGCTACTTCATTCAGGAACAAAAGTGACTTGATGAATTTGGATACTTGCATCCTACTCTGCTATTTCTGCCACATAAAGATATGGTAAAAATAGTATGAGTAGAATGCAATTCATTCAATCCATGCATTTCCGAATTCAAATATGGTCGGCTAGCCTGGGTTTCCCCATTCTGCCTTGCCGCAACATGATTTTATTCGCGCTGCTAGGCAGTCTGGATACCATGAACCAAATTTTCCCCTGAAATAGGGAACCAATCACAGAACGGGGAGGGAGCACAGGCGCATTTGATAGACATTCGTAGCACCCTATAATACGGCTCTGGGCATTCGTAAACCACGCCTCAAATACGAGAAATTTAACATGTGGTTTCCAGACCACGGTTCATTCTCAATGATACGTGGTCTGGCATTAGAAGGATGATTTGTAGGTTTTGTTGTTGTTTGAGAGGTATGCTATTCACAGAGCTTTTAATCGTGTGGTATATTATCTCCCATGTGTTGTTGTACAGGCGCTGTCTGTGTCACTCCAGGGTTTTCTGAACAGTATTGTGTATGCGTGGAGACGACGCAATTTCAGAGATGCTGTGCTGGGGGAGCGTCTGCCTCTCATGGCCTATTCAAACAGAGCCTTCTTTGAACAATCATTAAATGAGCCATCATGAAATCGCAGTATGAAATCATGTAAATGTTAGTGTGTTTCCACATAGGAGTACATATATTTGTTTAAATGTTTTCTATTTATTTTTTATATTTGTGATACCTGTTGATAGGCAATTGTACTGCTGTCTGCATAACAGTATAAACCATACTTTAAATGTTTAAAACAATAAAAAAAAAGCCGAGCTCGAAAAAGACAAATTATTAGTTAATTATTTTCAAACCATACTTTATTTATGAAAGTGATATTATATGGAAAGTGTATTTCTGATATATCAGAAGTTGAACTGCAGTTTTGTTCAATAAATGTCTGCTTAGCCATGTGCCGATACTTCTAGTTCTTGACTGAAACTTTTTCTAGTTTAATCCTTACCTAACAAAGTATGCCATGGTTGTAAAAAAAAAAAAAAAAAAAATCTGTCTCATAAAGTGTGATCCCATAAAGTTTTTCAGTACAGAACAGTCAAATATGTACTGAACAGAAGGGTCATGATTATGTCACATGTCACGTCACATGGTGAGATCATGGCATGCACTTTTCTTTATGTGTAACCTGAAACCACCAGCAATCCAAAACTAAAAGAATTATCAGTGAAATAATCAAGATTGCAGTTAGCCTTTGTATTTATTGCAGTCTCAAAAGGGCCATAAAAATGCAATAAGTCTGATCATGTATATTACATAATTAAGTGAGGCTTTTAGCTTTGATTTCTTTCAGGTCCTCTATATGGAAGCTTGCACCTAAATGACAAATTATATGGTGATCACAAAAAACTACCATGCACAAATTAAATATATGGGATCCAGGTATGGTGGTGTGTGGTATTTTTCTGCAGCAACCTCCAGACTCAAAATAAATATTGAAACGGACTTAATTTCACAGCATTGGCCTGGGTTATCAATAGGCCTGATTTATAGATGTGATTAAAGAATTTGCAGTACTGGTAACTTGTCTAAAGTGCAGTCAGCATGTGCACACAATATTGCATTATCCTCAGTTGAAGAAAGCATAGCATTTTCACTGTACTCTCTTTATAATTTATTAATTCACAGCAGCAAGTTCATCTAATCAATAAACATGAACTATTGCCATTGTGCCTTTTGAACCTGACGGTGGCCTAACCACTTCACATGACAATCCCTATTAATGATATGGATAAAAGCAGCTGTTAAAAGATATTCTTATCAGAAACACTGTTGTTTTTAATAGACAATAAACCCGTAAATTAAGTGTCTCATATGTTTATGTTCAGTTTTCCTGCTTGTAATTTCATTCTGACCTATATATATATATACACTCACCTAAAGGATTATTAGGAACGCCTGTTCAATTTTTCATTAATGCAATTATCTAATCAACCAATCACATGGCAGTTGCTTCAATGCATTTAGGGGTGTGGTCCTAGTAAAGACAATATCCTGAACTCCAAACTGAATGTCAGAATGGGAAAGAAAGATGATTCAAGCCAGGTACCTCTCATCTCCAATACAAATAGGAAAAAGAGGCTACACATTGCAAGAGCTGACCAAAATTGGACAGTTGAAGACTGGAAAAATGTTACATTTACATTTTACATTTAAATTTATTCATTTAGCTGACGCTTTTATCCTAAGCGACTAACAATTGCTATGTTTGTCAGAGGTCGCACACCTCTGGAGCAACTAGGGGTTAAGTGTCTTGCTCAGGGACACAATGGTGTCTCACAGTGGATTCGAACCCGGGTATCTCACACCAAAGGCATGTGTCTTATCCACTGCGCCATCTCCACCCCTATTGGCCTGTTGCTTGGCCAAATGTTGCCTGGTCTGATGAGTCTCGATTTCTCTTAAGACATTCAGATGGTAGAGACAGAGAACATGGATCCATCATGCCTTGTTACCACTGTACAGGCTGGTGGTGGTGGTGTAATGGTGTGTGGGATGTTTTCTTGGCACACTTTCGGCACCTTAGTGCCAATTGGGCATCGTTTAAATGCCATGGCCTACCTGAGCATTGTTTCTGACCATGTCCATCCCTTTATGGCCACCATGTACCCATCCTCTGATGGCTACTTCCAGCAGGATAATGCACCATGCCACAAAGCTTGAATAATTTCAGATTGGTTTCTTGAACATGCAAGTTCACTGTACTAAAATGGCCCCCACAGTCACCAGATCTCAACCCAATAGAGCATCTTTGGGATGTGGTGGAACGGGAGCTTCATGCCTAGGATGTGCATCCCACAAATCTCCATCAACTGCAAGATGCTATCCTATTGATATGGGCAACATTTCTAAAGAATGCTTTCAGACCCTTTTTTAATCAATGCCACGTAGAATTAAGGCTGTTCTGAAGGCAAAAGGGGGTCAACAGTATTAGTATGGTGTTCCTAATAATCCTTTAGGTGAGTGTATATATATATATATATATACTCTATATATGAAAAGTTCAGATGCAAAAACCTCTAAATGCCATTTAAAATTTTCTTCTTTAATGATGATTTTGATCAAACTTGTATATTTAAGTTCAGTAATTTCACTTAAATGGCAATGATAATTACCTATTAATTGTTATTTAAGTGAAATTACTGAACTTAAATATACAAGTTTGATAAAAATCATCATTAAAGAAGAAAATTTCAAATGGCATTTAGAGGCTTTTGCATCTGAACTCTTCATATATATATATATATATATATATATATATATATATATATATATATGGTGGACCATCACTCACTTGCAGTAGTGCAACTTATGAAATACACATGCCAAAATGTGCTGTAAAGAAAACAAATTATATTTACTTTATTTCAAATAACAAAACTTCACATGACAATCTAGGACGTGTGACATGAGTCATAACTGGGATATTGACAAACCATGAAGGCTAACCAAAATGGTCAAGAAGAAACAAGGACAAGAACATGGATCAGAATAAAATTAAATGAACAAAACCAAAGAACACAGAAAAAAATAAAATAATAATAATCGGAAATATGTTACAGTATGAAAAAGGGCGTAACATGGCCATAAATATCATTCGGCTGCACAGCGAGTCAGGCAAACCTGACAGTGCACTTGGGAAAAAAGAAAGAAAAAGTGTTCACAGAAAAAGGAAACTGGGGAAATTTGCAACATAGATCTATTATCTAACTTAGTCAACTGGTTACATATTTACTATGTTTATTGTATTATAAAAAATGATTTACTATAATATGAATGTCTGCCTACGGGCTGTTGTATATGGGGAATACCTCATACTAAAAAGAAAAAAGAAAACAAAAAACCCCAGAAAAAGAATGTTGAAAGTTTGCATGCTCACGTGAATAAAAAACAAACTAAAAAATACCCAAATATTAAGCAATAATTATAGTACCCGAGCACGTTCTCTATTATGAATATATTCAATACAAACATGCAAATATAGATCACAATATATCTCAAGTGCCTTATAAGAACAGTTTTTATTAAATATCTTAATGACAGTTTTATTTAAAAAAAATTAATACCAAAATCTATGAACTTCCGTTCAAGGCAGTTTTATAGCATCATTACGATATTCTAGTATGGTAGAATTCATTTTAGTTAGTTTTAGTAATTTTCCGACTAGGCTGAGATTAGTTGGGATGAAAAAAAAGGGGAAAAGAAGCAAAATGAATACAGACACAATCCACTGTCCATAGTCCATTCTCCTTGCATTTTCACAATAATGTCACACATCTTTATTCAGAAGGAGATTTAGGTTTAATGAAGTAGAAGCCAAGGTATGTTTCTGACAGTATGACAGTTTTGCCCATAAAACTATAGTACATTAACTATACTGAACCCTTTTCTCTCCACAATGTGCTGTTAAAATAGGTGTCCAATCCTGTATGGCCAATTTTCGACTAATAAACACACCTGAACCAGCTAATCATGTGTTGAATTCAGAACCACATACTATACTATTCTATTCTAAATGTTTCTTGAGCATCAAATCAGAATATTAGAATGATTTCCGAAAGATCATGTGACAATGAAGACTGGAGTAATGATTTTGAATATTCAACGTTACTACCAAAGGAATAAATTACATTTTTAAATATATTCAAATTCAAAACAGGCTCATGCAGGTGACACAAAGACATGAGCTGTTTGTCAAAATGATGTGGATACAAAATGAATGAATCATTAGACAATTGTTCAGCAAGCAAAAACTAATCCAAAGAAATGTTCAAACGTGGTAGAAACCCGCTCTTCCTACAATTTAGAATTGAGGAATGAGAATAACACCAATAAAAACTACTCTACTTGGCCTGAAATAAATTATATGAACGGAAAAGAGGTCACACATAAAACTACGACCAAAAAAAAAAAAAAAACTAAAATAATAAAAGAAGGTGTGAGCAATTGTGAACATTTACAGCTATGTATTCAGTGACGGAGCCAAGATATTTTCATTGGTGTGGCCAGGCATTTCTGGGGTGGCACAGAAATGTTCATAATTCAAACATAAAAAAATTAGTTAGACCATATAACTTACTGGGCTACGTCTCCAAAAGCATGTAGGCCTAAGTAGATCATTGAACCATTGACACCAATGGTCCCTGCGATCAACTTAGGTCACAATGTATTTGAGATACGCAGCGATGGACACTTTTAGTGCCTACTACACTACTGAATACAATTCACGCATTCACACTTACAAATAATCAGAAAGAGTAAGAGAGTATGTGTATTTAGCGTTCTGTGGCTCAGATCTCGGAATATGGCACAAACCCACAGTACAAATTTTTTAAAGATTTGTCGCTGCTTTATTCATCTCCACATTTAACCAACTTGTATTTACCCAGCTTTTCAGCGATTTTTTATATCTACTATTCACCGGAGGCACTGAGTTTCCCCAGCACCCGTTTTTCAATGCTTTTGAATGATTTGCGCCTGGCACTGATGTAAACTTTGTGTGCGCACTTAAAAACCGTGTGTTGGGATCGTAAAGAGACGGTTGTACATCTAAATAAACTCACGTCTGGTCAAGATAAAAAAGACAGAAATGGTTAATTGTCGGTCAATGGTGGCCACAGCCTCCTAGCTCCACCCCTGTATGAATTATATTATTGTATTTTTAAACAGGATGTAAAAAGTGTCAGCTGATTCTGACCCTCCACTCAGAAGTCCATAGAGAGAGAACGCTGCTGGACAGGGTTACGTACCATCACGACATTGCGTCCACGTGCGAAATCATTGTAGCCGATTTCTTCCATCACGCGTCCCTCCAGCCCGAGGTCTTCATCTTCCAGTGCCTCGTGCAGACTCTGTGCGCTGTAAGCGTGAGAGTGTGGATCGTGCGTGAAAGGGTGCGAACGCGAGCTGCTCCTGCGTCCATGGAAACTACCCCAGCCTCTGGCCCCGACAACCGTACTCAGCTCCTCAGAGCCCCGCGCGAGATGATGCGGTCTGGTTGCCATAATAATGGAGGCAGCGTTGCTCTGAGCTCCACAGTGATGCTCGTGCACGCAGCGGGACATGCTGGAGGACCGGCGGAGTTTCTGCAGACCCTCCAGCTCCTCGGACAGCTCATCCGGCAGTTCAGCTTCCCGCATGGAGAACAGCTCATACTGAGGCGGCTCCAGCACCTCCTGCATCTCTGCAGTGCTGAATAAACCTTTACGGCTCAAAACCTGCCGGAGATAAATACATATTAGCAATGTCACATGTTGTTGCAAGTTAAACGTCCATGCACCAATAATAAATAGGGTTTTAAAGAAGAACTTTGGCGCAAAATGAACCTTTGGTCTAATAAAACATCGGTACCTAGTCGACCGTTCTCTAAGATTTGTTTTCATGGTAATCGAATGTAAAGAGTTTTGTCTCTAAAAACTGTTTAGAGTATAATGCTAGTAATGGGGGCATTTAATAAGTAAAAAGAAATCCCTAGTTTATACCACTAACAAGGCTCAAAATAGCCCCACACTAACACAGTAACATGATGAGGGTCCCTAAATACGAACTTTGTAAGTGTACAGACCGTTTAATAAGAAGATATTTTATAAAGACAGTCCACTTCGTGTATACAGGTGGCGCCAACGGTCTGTACACTTACAAAGTTCTCAATGCTTCGCTTTTGATTTTGATTTTAAAGGGATACTCCACTTTTTATGGAAATAGGCTCATTTTACCACTCCCCCAGAGTTAAACAGTCGAGTTTACTGTTTTCGAATCCCTTCAGCCGATTTTCTGATATTTAGAAGTTTATCAGTAACCGGACAGTTTCTGGTCTCATTGACTTCCATAGTAGGAAAAAATATACTATGGAAGTCAATGAGACCAGAAACTGTCTGGTTACTGATATTCTTCTAAATATCAGAAAATCGGCTGCATGGATTCGAAAACGGTAAAACGCAACTGTTTAACTCTGGGGGAGTTGTAAAATGAGCCTATTTCCAAAAAAAAGTGGAGTATCCCTTTAAGAGGGATTTGTGACAAAAGGAAAGTAATGAAATAAATGATTTTTTGAAATAAATGTTCAATGAACACACAATATGACTGCATTTGAGCATTCGTCGAGTACATTTTTGAGTTTTATTACTCTTTGATTTTAATTCATTAATAATAATGAATGATTATGTCATTATTAATTATTAATAATAATTAATAAACATTTAATGATTATTAAATAATTAATAAATATGAATTAATGTTTTTTTTTTCTGTTATTATCCATGCTGTCAGATAGAGCTGCTTAGTTTTGACGAGAACTATAATCATGATTATTCTGGTCAATATTGAGATCACAAATATCTACCACAATTATGTATTGACTTCATCATGGATTTATTAAACTTAATAAATGAAAAACTTGTTAAAATGAAAAACTAAAATTATAAAGGTGATAAGTCATTTAAAGTAAATATGTGTGTGTGTATATTTATATATAACACAAGACAAAATTAAAACATCATTGTAAAATGGAATTTGGCAAAATAATCATTTTACCTCCACTATCTTGTATTTTTTTTAATAATGAATGTTCTTTTGATTAAAGATTTTAAAAATAACTATTTTTTTTCTTTGGAATAATATTCATGGGTGAATCATTAACAATTATACTAGGAACATGCATTAAAAACGTAAAAAGTCTAACTAGCGAATTCCTATTAAACTGCAAAAAGAAAGCTTTTCCATAAATAAACTCTTGCTATTGGTCAAACAAACAGACCCAAAGTCACACCGTTGGCTGAGTCAATATTGCAGTGTTGCTGAAGCTGGAATAAACAAATGCACTAGTAATGTTCTGATAGCGCCACAGTGTTTACTTTTTTTCAGGGAAACCAAACTACAAAGAGCTTATGTATATAAGCGGCTGATAAATAAAAAATCTTTAAGAACATTTTTCATGTTGAAAACGTATATATATATAACTTTAATGTGCATTTCTAATACCTTGGAGGCTGGTAATTTGTCATTCTAAATGGTGATTTCTCAATATGAATAGTCACCTTCTTTCTCGGCTGCTTCATCTGTATAAATACAGATATGATGAGAAGAAGAAAAACAACACCAGTGGCCACTCCAATCACAGTGCAATGAGTTCTACTCATTTGCTGCAAAAAACTTTTAGACTTCTTTTCTGAGAGAGATGGGACAACAAAGACAAAAGAAAGCAGAAGAAGACAGGGTCATGAGTGATGAAAAATTCACACCTTCCACCTAAATCAGAACAATGACAATAAAACTAGTTCTGTGAAAGATATGAAGAAAGCTTTTGCATCACATTAGCGACAAAAAAAAAAACGGTTGTGAAAGCACAATTTTACCTTTGCAATTGTTCTCATCCCAGGGAAACACACAGTTCTGAACACCATTACAGACCAGAGTATTGTTGATGCACATGTTGCTGTGACAGAAAAATGTATTGGCCGAACACGGAGCTGCAAAACAGAGTTTTGAATAAGATGAAAGCCAGACAAACATGCAATGCCCATAATGTCCACATGGTAGACTTCTTACACCACATGTTTGAAATCTAGTACCACTGGTTATCAAACTACTGAAGCACAATATTCTGACAGATTTTGTTTAGTTAAAGGACAAGTTCGGTATTTTACACTTAAAGCCCTGTTTCAAGATCGTTTCTGATGAAATAGAACGGTTAAGATTAAAATTTGGACACAATTTTCGGTGTCTATGGTTTTGTCCAACTCAACTACGATAAAACCTGTTGGAAAGCACATTTTGCAGTGACTTTAAGTGTAAAATACCAAAGTTGTCCTTTAAAGATGTTTTTTGTGTGCTTTTTATAATTATAATGTATTCCAAGTAAATTTCACCCCAAAAGTTGGAAAATTAGATTAATTAAAAATTATCTTATTTTGCATTCAATGGAAAAATAACATGTGTATAGAGCGACAAGTAATGACAGAATTTTCCTTTTTTTTTTTGGTGAACTATGAATTTAATAAAATTGCAGAAAGTAAAAAGGTTTGTGAATGCTTACGTTCAGCAAAGACTGTAAAGAGCATACGGAACCGACTCAGTTTGCTGTTCTCGTCGGCCCACAATCGAACAACACCCACGGGATTGTCAAGTGTGATGTCATTGGCAACAGTGCTGCAGAACTTGGCCTTTAGATCTTCAATGGCATTACTGCCTTCATAGATCGCAACAAAGTTTTTCTTACACTCATTTGAGTTCTCCAGCTGGTACTCCAGAAAGCGGAGATAGATCTGTGTGTGTGAAATAGAGACAGAAACAGAGACTGGTAATGCTATTGTAAGTATGTATAATGATACACACAGGGCTCTACAGTGCAAACAAAATGACAGCATGCGACAGTGAAAATATATTGGTTGCACTGGTGTGAATGACCCGATGAAAGCTTATGAACAACAAGTGTGTAATCAAATACGAATTAAAACAACAACTGTCAAAATGCATCCAAATTACACAACAGTTCAGTTTTGCACTGTGATTGGCTGCTTTAAATGCCTTCAGTCACAACAGCAAGTGCGAGATTTTGTAGAGTTTTGTGCAAAGAACTACACAGAGGTGCAGCAGGTTAACATACGTGATTTCAGCACGGTTGCAAATGTGATATTGATTTATCTCATTGTGATTTGTGATATTGATTTGTGATACTGATGAATAACCAAGAAGCTAATTTTAACTGACTTATGTTTTAGGCACAATATTGTCTTGTTCTAGTTCTATTTCATCAACAAAAATAGTTCCAAACAAAGTCACAGCTGAGCCGCTGCGCATTTCAGAGAAAACACACAGTGATGTTTTGTTGATGAATTTCATCTGTTTGAATCGGGTGAGTAAAAAATTCAGTGACTCATTCACAAATGCTGTGTCTCAATTCAGAGTCTGCATCCTTCGAAGGCTGCATTCACCACGGCGCGACGAAGGCTGTCCCAATTTGAAGGCTCCTTCAAATGTGTCCTTCGTTTCCTATAAAATGAAGGATAAAACAGATGGCCCCTTCGTGGCCTCATGTACCACAGAATTCATTGTGTGCCGGTGATGACAGGATTTTTTAAAAATAAATTGCAGAAGTCTACTTTTAAATGTAAATATTGGGTTCTAATTACTCAAATAATTGAATGTATATAATGATAAAAATGTAAAAATGTAAATTATATATATATATATATATATATATAAAGAGTTCAGATGCAAAAGCCTCTAAATGCCATTTGAAATTTTCTTCTAGAATGATCATTTTTATCAAGCTTGTAAATTTATGTTCAGTAATTTCACATAAATGACAATTAATAGGTCATATTCATTGCCATTTAAGTGAAATAACTGAACTTAAATATACAAGCTTGATAAAAATGACCCTTCTAGAAGAAAATTTGAAATGGCACTTAGAGGCTTTTGCATCTGAACTCTTTATATATATATATATATATATACTATTTTGCCAAGACTATTGGGACACTCCTAAAAAAAAATCACTGAATTCAGGTGTTTCAATCACTTCCATGGCCACAATTACACGATTACAGTGCTGGGCGGTATTACCAAAAATCCATATCACAGATTTTTTTATTATTATTATTATGTTTTTTTTATTATTATTCACAGTATTTTTTTCCAAGCATGACTGGGGGTTAACCACATTTTTTAATGACTGAGAGAGGAAATACTGCAGTAGATTGACTTAGGATGCCCTATTTGTCGATCCTTGTCAACTCTGCATTCTTTGTATTTTTTTTTTCCCTTTTGGTCATTTATATTCTATTCTATTATTTTTCTCTCTACTAGTATTTTTACCCTTGTATTGCATTTTATCAAAAAGCCCTTATTGTATTGCATTGCTCATGTATTTTATCGCATATATCACATTTTACTAAAAAAGCCCTTCTAGGGACTAATGTTGTAAATTAGCTTTAGCTAAAAACATTGATACATACATCAGATCACTGTCAAAGTGTATCTATGTTATCTGTATCTGTCCCTATCTAAATAAACTATAATAATAATAATAATATTTTACTTTCATGAGTGAATATTGTAGAGAAAATCCACACTAGTATTAATAAAAGATTGCAAGGCTGTATACAAAGAGGTGCCAGGAGGAGGCGCTTTAGGAGCTGCAGAAATAGTGGTTTCTCTTTCATCATCTCATGTTCGAGATCAACCTATGGGATATCTGTACCTGACCTCTGCAGAAGTATCCAATTGCACCAAGTCTGACAAGACAGACAGAAGTGCGTAGCCAATGGCATATAAAGCTTGCATGCGCTACTGTTCTCCAGTTGACATTTGCTTCTCACGATCTCTGCACTTAAACAGATCGGTTGGATTTACACTGCTCACTTGTATGTCTTCAGGAGGACATTTCACCTGATCAGCCTCCGCCAGACGTTACATTAGTTTATTCAGCTGTGTTCTGCATCCGGAACCACCCACGCTTTTCTCACCTGCTTCCCTTCCACGGCTACCCGCCACGTAATTTTTAGTTTCTCACCGGTGTGTCGCTGTCTAAATCTGCCGCTTCTCCGGAGAACAGTCTATCAAGGACCTGCCTGGCTGCGTGTGGTGCGCTGATCGTTGCTAAGGACCTTCACTCTTTCTGCGTGGTCTCCTTTGGACCTCAAACATTCTCAAGAAGCCTTAGAGAACCCAGAGATTTGCAGTCAGTCCCTTAAGCTTTTGCGATGCCGTCTTAAAGTTGCATCGACCCAGTGCGGTGAGCTCGGGCCTTCTGACTGGGATGGGGAACATGGTGACGACGAAGCGCTTCCGAGGGCCTCCCGGGGCGCTACTTCACCTATCTGGGCTGACCAGCCCAATCCTGCGTTCCCCAGAGAGGACATGATCCCTTACTAATTAATGTGAGAGGAACAGATGTTTACCCAGGGCTGCATTACTAACCTTAGACATCGGCGGAGCTCGTATGGTCCAAATACAATCCAATGCTTCCCCTGATTTCACCTTGTTTTCCTCGTCAACTTGACTAGATCTGATTATGCCATCTGATCCAGACAATTCAAACTGACAGTCTGAGGGGAAGAGACAATAGTAAAGATAAAGACAACATTAAATCAACATTATAGCATTCAAATATTATAACATTATAGCTCGAGAAAGAGTCTGCAGACAGCAGCTGGGAAATGGGGCACTGAAATGTTTAGGGGTTTACATAACTGATGCAATAAATATGGAATTTACAATTATATTTGTTGGGCTCGGTAACCATAGCAACTGAAAAAGAGAGCCCATAAAGTGTTATTCTGATAGGTAGCAAAACCTTCAAAAAATCAAGCACTAAGATAAAGTCTGTTTCTGTAGGACATGCAAGGCCAGGTTTAGTTAAACAGATTAAATTATTAGTGCCCAAAAAACCCCAACTATAACTGCACAATTTCTAACCATAAACTGTCATGGTAAATGTAATGATTCTTAGACAAATCTTACATAATGCAGAAGCTTTATTATCCGAATCAATAAATGTGATAACCCCCCTGGAATAACCACATCCCAACCCATGCTCCATATACAAGTCATTTTACCTGGAATGGGATTCAAGAGTCCTCCAACATGAAGATGAAAATCTGGATCTGCATGTAAGAGAGATTTTTGGATAATAAAAAAATCAAGTGCAACAAAATGAATACAAAAGGAGCAGAGCAAAAATGCATTAGAGTAAATGATTCTAAAATCTAATTGCATGAAGAATTGCAAGATGCATTTACCTGCAGTATATGAATACTCCACCCTGAAACCCATGCCTTCAAGCTCCTCATCACTAACAAATCTGATCCACATGAAGCGTCCAGAGGAGGTGACAATCCCTGGACTATTTGGCCCACAGAACCGATTAATCAACGGAGAGAAAACAAATGGTCCATCACGGATTTCAATGTTATCAAAGCGGCACTCGAAGGACGGCTCGATGTAGTAGATGTCATCGAAGGCGAGCTGGATTCTCTTCCGTGGATGAGCTGATGTAGACAAGAAAAAGGTCTGTTGTGACTAAGAAACATACAATACTGTTCAAAAGTTTGGGTCAGGTAAGATTTTTTAATGTTTTTAAAAGAAGTCTCTGATGATCACCAATACTACCTTTATTTGATCAAAAACAGTAAAAAAAACTGTAATATTGTAAAATATAATTACAATTTAAAATAACTTTTTTCTGTTTTAATATCATTTAAAGTGTGGTACAAAGCTGAATTTTCAGCATCATTACTCAAGTGTTCAATGACATGATCCTCCAGTAATCATTCGAATATGCTGATTTGTTGCTCAAGAAGAATTTATTATTTTCAATGTTAAAAACAGCAATGTGATTCCAATGTGATATTTCATTTATTTCTATTTATTTGAAACATTATAAATGTCGTTTCTGTCACTTTTGATCAATTGAATGCGTCTTTGCTGAATAAAATCAAATTAAAGCTACACCGTGTAACTCTTTTAGTTTATTCTTAGCAAAACACACTTAGTTCTTTCAAAAATATATGTGCTCATTAATGTATATTTACTTCGTTCAAGTAATTAAGTATTCTCGTGAGTGTATAATATGCCATTGAAAATACATACGGGTAAGGGGTTCTAATGTCAGTCGCCATGTTGCCCCTCCATCTTGAAAGTACATTAGCCAAAGAGGGACATACCCGTTAATTCAAGCTTCGCCTTTCGTGTTTACGTTTGAGTTAACACTCATGGACGAGGTCGAACTCGAAACCATGTTAATCTTGGACTACATTGGCCACCGTAGGAGTTAAAACGAAATCGGAATTGAGAGGAACAGAAACTAATATTCACTGCATGGTCATATACCTTTTCACCTCTAGATGGTGGTAAAAATCACACAGTGTAGCTTTAAAGAATTAATTTCTTTATAAAAAATAATAAAAAAAAAAAAACAGTTGCAGTGCATGAGAATAAGTATCTTTGCTTGTGGAAGTGAGACTCATACCCTCCAGTATGTACACACACTCCTTGTTTGGTGGGTAGGTGCTGGGGTAGTTTGGGGAACTGAATGATCCTCCATTTGCTGTCTGGATCAAAGTTCCACAGTGAGCAGGCTTCTTATCCTCAACAGCCACAATCTGAGGCATAGCTAACAGCGCACGCACACACACACACACACACACACACACACAAACAAGATGATTAAAGGTAATGGTTATTAAAGAAAAACAGATATCAATTTTATTTTATTTTATATTAATTAATTAATTTCAATCTCTCTCACACTGGAAATATAACATGTGGCTAAGCAGGCAAGTTCATAATTCAAACTTACCTTGAGTTTTCTGTGCCAATGCAAAGCCCTCCTCTATCAGGATAAGCAGAACCAAGACTGCAAGAAAACATTTTGTTTTTTTAATAATTACAAATTTGAGGATATTTTCAAATGCAATTTATTCCTGTGACGTAAAGCTGAATTGTCAGCATCAATACTACAGTCTTCAGTGTCACACGATCCTTCAGAAATCATGCTGATTTGTGGCAGTTTTGCTGATTACTGTAATATTTTTGTGGAAACCATGATCATTTTTGTCCAGGACTCTTTGATGTCTAGAAAGACCTAAATAACAGTATTTATGTTTAAAAAAAGCCTTTTATCTTTTCAAACATTATAAATCTCTACTGAGCAATAAAAGGTGGATGTTATATTGTGTCATGTGAATTAATTTTAAAATCAACATACCCTAACTCATAATATACAGGTGAAACTTGAAAAATTAGAATATCGTGCAAAAGTTAATTTATTTCAGTAATTCAACTTAAAAGGTGAAACTAATATATTATATTATATACTCATTACATGTAAAGTGAGATATTTCAAGCCTTTGTTTGTTATAATTATGATGATTATAAGTATGGCTTACGGCAATGAAAAACTTTTCACAATATTCTAATTTTTCATAAGCTGGTTTCATAAACTGTAAGCCATAGTCAATATCTCTTGAAATATCTCACTTTGCATGTAATGCGTCTATATAATATATTAGTCTCACCTTTTAAGTTGAATTACTGAAATAAATTAACTTTTGCACAATATTCAAATTTTTCGAGTTTCACCTGTACATCCACAGGTTCAGAGCTTCCAATTTACAAGGTATAATTTTCTATGTGTTAGGCAAGGTTGTGTTTAAGACATTGTATGTGACTTTCGTGACATGAGATGTTGAGAGTTAAATTTTAAGTAGAATTAAAATTCTAATATTATCAAAGCGATTTCAGCAATTTCATAAAACGTGATGTCACAGTACGTCACAGTTTTACAGTGAGATAAACCAATTGCAATTGCTCATTCATATGTCTGTACCAAAATAATGGAGTAATATGTAGATTTCTAAACTATTTGTACTAATTTGTAGCAGACAACTGCCATTTACAGTATAATGGGGACCTAAAACGTATAGGCTACAGCTTTGGAATAACCCAACTACTACACCAGTATCTTTTTTACAGACAACTACCATGAGGGACTAATGACTATACTGTTCATGCATTTGTAAAGAGTGGTTTCACTGAGGGTTTGTGGAAGAAGCTGTAAATTATGTTATGAATGAATGAAAACCATCTCAAATTCCACTAACAAAAATACTGTGGTTCCATTAGAATGCTATGGTATTCTTTTAAGTATTTTGGAGTACCAAGCGTTGTATTTCAACCCATTACAACTGAAATTTGAAGTTTAAATGCTGCATTGAGTTTTATGGCACAGTATAATTGACGATTTTGGCTAGCTAGATGAAGAGAGACTATTATGCTATTATACCTGCTATTATGACAATTATGAAAACATTTTACAGTAAGTGAGGCAAATTAATGCGGTGAATATCATTCAGCACCATGATAGTCTAGCGTCTTTCATAATCACTATGGTAATACCACAGCTACTTTATTTTAAATGTAGCCTACATTACATATAGGTTAACAGATTTACAATACGTTAACAGATACAATACGTTACCAGATTTAGAGAGGCAAAGTAGCATTCAATACAACAAACTCACCTTCATGCATTTCCACTGAACACTTTTGGTCTCGTGAGATTTGCTGTCTACATTTTCAACGACACGAAGTTAAGACTGTCGCAATACGGATCTGCAACAGATTTCATGAATAAAGAAGCATCTCGTTCCTAAAATTAATTTGGGAAAAAAATCCATTGAAAGCACTCATATAAAACTGTTCACAGCTACGCGTTTGCAGAAACTCTTGAGCTCTGTGCTTCTGAACAGCGAGTTTTCATAGTGACACTGAGGGGAGAGGAGAGGAGAGGAGCTTGGCTCATGAATATTAATTAATCTCATCATGACCTACACACAGTTTGTACTAACTACGTGTGTTAATACATCGTTTTATGTTATGTATGATACGACATCAATATAATATACAAACGTGAAATAAACAATGAAATATTAAATTAAATGAATATGAGACTATAAATTATAAATAAATAAATATATGTCATGACAATGCCAGCAGAATCCGAACTGCTTTCAGTCAAGGCTGAGTTTAGTCAGAACTATATTTTAGTACTAATATTTTGTGCAGCATTGCGTCTTTGCACAAAATTTGGAGGCAGCACAGAGCCTGAACAGAACAGTCTGAACTCAGATGTGTAAATGTGACTTAGGTTCAATCCTGGATCAGGGGACCCAAAACACCTCACATTCAGGGGGTCTCACAGGACAAACACATTTCAGATCTTGAACTCTCTATTAATGAGCTGATAAGTTATCAATCAGTCATGTTAGATTAGAAATCATCGAAATTGTACAGTATTCCAGGTCCAGGATTGAGAACCACAGCTCTAGGAAGATTACAAAGAAGCATCCACATGACCTAAGTAATATTCCCAAGCTAAGTCTTGGTAGGATTCGTAATATTGCAGATGGGGTCCACACAGCTGTTGAAGACAAGGGATTTGAGACTTAACACTGGTCTCTCGGAGGGGTCTGTCCCACCCATGCACGGCTGATAAGCAGTATGGGGACTGAACTGATGATGCATGTTGCAGAAGCTGATTACATGGTTGTTGTGAGGATATTCTAATACTATCGGCCTTTCTACGTGTGATCACGTAATGCATTGACTGTCAAGGCTTGTTGCACAATATATCTTTAATCACCTTTAATCTTGGCAAGCATCACTATTATTATTATTGCTCAGAGCCCTGAACCTCAGTATTAAATTTTGAATGTTGTCCCACACTTTTGTGGTACAATTATGAATTATGTGACTCTAAGCGATCAGATTTATGATTTTTGCTCAAAATATTATAGAGGCTTGGAGGGAGCTGGAGATGATCTTGCAGTCATCAAACCTAGCAAATAATTCCACATAATTGTATATTGAAATATGCATTATCATTTTCATCCATGTGCATGTTGAACCCATATTCAATAACCAGGCCAGATTTTTAACGTCGACAAGTTTCAAAAGTAAAACTTTGGCACTGCAAGAATTGCCTCTTAAAAAGATGCACTGCTTAAATGATCACAGAACAGTTATTTTCCAGTCATGGCCCAACAAGACCAAGCCTGCTGACAACTGACGTAAAAAGGGCTTTCATAAATAACTTAAGCTGCCAGTGATGTGTGATGGCACCCATTTGCAATTCAAATGAAGTTCAAACTCCCTTTCATCTCTTACTGAGAAGATGAGATTCTCACCTGAGAATAGAGATTCTGCCACATTAATTTACAATGGCCTAGATAAGGCAATGAAGCCACTCTTACTGTGGTGAAGTCAGCATGTAACCATAGAGGTATAGGAGTATGGGTATCTACATTCATGTGGTGCACATCTAGGCCATGTTTAACGTATGAGAACAGTGCATTAATGGATGACTGAATAGTTTAGGATGTTGTTCTTAACAGGTAAAAAGATTAATGCAAATACAATTAATTTAGCTGCTACATTCGTAGCGGGGTTTGTTTTTCTAGGCAGAAAATCAAACACAAATATAGCTGCGAGCAGCGATGGCGGGCCCAAGCCGGAGGCACCGCAACCCCGGTTCCTTTAGTTACCTAAAGGCACCCGGGTGGCGGTGCCGAAGGCTTTGGCCCTTTCATGATTAAATGTTAAAACGGCTTGCCATACTCTGTCATTTCGACTAGTCACAATTATGTTACAGATATCTTAAATGATAATACAAACTATCCAAAGTGTAACGACTAGACAGAAAGACTTTGTTGATATCTACAATGTTAATTCCGGACAGGCAAACTTAGCTTTTAAATGTTAAAAGGGCTTGCCATACAGGGACGTAGGCTCAGAGAGAGGCTCACCATATTCAGACCAAAATATCTGACTTCCTCTTGGTCCGAGCTAATGACTATGTATTAGAAAGTTGTACGGCTTGAGGAGTACAATGTATATAGCGATTTTTGTAACTGTAGATAAAACTAACAACCCCACTTTTAAGTATATATATGGTGCCTTTAGTGTTATTCTGCACGACGTGCAAAAACTTAACCCCCGCTTTTTTAAGTATATATATATATATATATATATATATATATAAAGAGGGTTATTCTGCACGACGTGCAAAAACCTAACCTCCGCATTGACTGTCGAAGAGAAGTGTGCAGAAGAGCTTGCATCAGTGAGGGCTTTGCAAAATATATATACATACAAACACACACACACACACACATATAAATGAGGTTAGTGTTTTACAATATTAAGGAAAGCAAATGTATTGAAATATAGCACATTAATTTTAAATTCATTCAGCTTCAATTACCAATTTGTAGTTTACCAATTTATCTTACTTTTATTTAAAGCAAACTATACATTTAAAAGATTAGGGTTATATGCATATTTTGTCATTTAAAAAAATACAAAATTGTTATGCAAAAAGATAAGGACTTGCAGAAAAAATCTACAGTCAGCCACACACACACACACATAAACGCAGACACCAGCAACCCCCCCCCTCCCTCTTCCCCATACAGACACTGATAGAGACAAGATACACATCCAAACTGCAATATCTGACTTTCTTTTGGTCTGAGCTTCTTACTGTTAATTAGAAAGTTGATCGGCTTGACAAGAACAATATACGTGGCATGTTTTGTAACTGTAGGTAAAACGAGCAAAGTTAACACATTTTATGTGTCCTTTTTTAGTCATAAAATTATTTTCCTCGCCACGGCCAAACCGTTCGAGATATCAAAAATCCGTCCGGAATTGAGCATCCTCAATGTCTTGACTTCATGCACACCGAGTATGGTGGTGATTGGTAAACACATGCGTTGTAATTTGATGTATTTCTCCTAGGAGATTTATTCAAACAACACATAATTCCCAACTTCCATTTGAACTGTCTTAAAACTTAGAGCAGAGATGGGCGCAGGTCACGCAAGTCTCAAGTAAGTCTCAAGTCTTAACCGTCAAGTCTCAAGTAAGTCCCAAGTATTTTTTTTGGGGGGGGGGGGGGGGGCAAGTCAAGTCAAGTCACAGGCTATGTCAAGTCAAGTCAAGTCTTGTAGTAGGTTAAGTCAAGTGCAAGTCAAGTCACCTTATTATTTTAATTTTACATGCAGAATCTGATCTTAATAAAATGAAAAGACAAGATAAGTATTTGCCAGTAAATTACAATAATTTGCATTGTAAATACTCATGTTCAGTAAAATACACCATGGAATCAAACAAAATTGTAACTTCATAAAATTATTTATTTTTCACTTCTGCCAACAGTGTGTTTGAAATGTTTTAAATTTTCAACATTGAGTCCATAAAACAAATAACAGCTTAACATCCTACAGACTCTCTGAACACCTTCCTCTCTCTCAAACACAGTTTACAAACAATATTAAACTTTGTTACATTTCTCCTCTCTCTCTCTCTCTCTCTCTCTCTCTCTCTCTCTCTCTCTCTCTCTCTCTCTCTCTCTCTCTCTCTCTCTCTCTCTCTCTCTCTCACACACACACACACAGTGGCGGTTCTAGACCATTTCAACTGGGGGGGCCAAGCTGGGGCCAGTTGTACTGTTAGAGGGGCCAGTTACATTTAGACCTTATCATTTTCTGCACTGCACTGAATGCATAAATAAGCAAAATACCATGTTTATAATTATCCAACAATTTGCATTTGCATTATATTTTTACATTTGCATTACATATATCAGTCTGTATTTGAATTTCCATTTTATTTTTTTACATTGAATATACAGTATGTATATATATATATATATATATATATATATATATATATAATTTTTACAAATTAATCTACGATTTTTGTGGGTTTTTTTTTTTTTTTTTTTGCAAAAAGATCAGCAAATTATCCTCTAAACTGGCCTTTTTAGGGGGCTTTCCTCTCAGGGTGAATGAGCTTTTTTATAATTGTTTTTTTCCTGACATCTTTGAAAGACAGAAGCAATAATTAATGCATCCTTGGCCAGGATATAATTATAAAATATGACATGATTTTAAAAGTGACCTATAATATCGACTATGCAATACACTTTAATTTATCTAGTGCTAATAAAATTATTAAGCCTATTTGGAGAGAGAGATGTTTATAATGTGACAATATGTCAGTCATCGTGATTCGTGTAATAAGATGACTAGGCCTAGACTACTTGTTCTGAGCAGGTGTTGTCAGTGAACAGGCTGTAAAACTGTTGTCTAAGTTACAGACTGATACTAATTAAATGGGAAACGAATCGATTACCTAACGTAACCTCGGTTCTCTCTAGATGAGGGAACGAGCATTGCGTAAGCTAGCTTACGCTACGGGAAAGATTCATCTTACATCAGTCAAGTTGTCATAGTTTTTGTCAAACAAGTTGTGAATTTGTTGTAACATTAAAACAGGAGATCATGACTTACTCCGTGCTCCAAGTGATGTTCGGAGCTCCAGTGATTAGTTTCATCTGTGGGACGGGTGAAGAAACTTTCGGAAGATGTTGTAACAGAATCATATGAACAATTCCAGGATATGCTTTTTTTCATTGGTTGTTGCGTTAAATTTTACCCAGATACAATAGTGCCCTTTTCTGATTGGCTATTAAGTAGCACTTCTCTTTTTTTGATTGGCTGATGTGTAGCAGGGTCGACTGCTGAACTCCAGGCGAGACGCGCTTGATTCTCACGTGAGAGCGGCGCGGCCAGAGAAATTGCGTATATTAAATATATTATTAATAGTTTGTCCGCATGAGAAATACAATGTGTGACGGGAGTGTGAGACAAAAGACTGAAACGAGTGACTGTCATGCTCAATGCGTGAC